GAAAGCAGTATCATAGAAAACAACAACAAAATGATGAACACACACAAACATAATCTATTTATGCTCCCTGTGTAACCTCCCAGGACCCAGACCCAGATGGACAACTCCTTTGGGGACCCCTCCTGGCAAGCAGGAATCTCTGGTTTTTAATAAAATCTCTCACTTGCTTTACTCTTCCTCCTTTATTGTTGATGTTGTCATTCTGAAACAGACAACGCTAAATTTCTGCCAACAAATAGATGCTCCTAGACCCTTCTGAGGGAACACAGACCTCCCACCATGAAAATTTCAGTCCAATGAGATTCACATAAGACTTGTGGGTCAGAGAGATCTTGATACAAATACTAACATATTTTCTCATAGTTTATGTAATAGTGGACAAATTAGCCTCTCTTAATCACAATTTCCTCATTTATAAAATGGTATTGCAGTGCCTACCTGTAGGAATTATTAGGAAAATGAATTGAGGTTGTTTTTGCTAAGTGCTGTAAGTAGTGCCTGGCACATAGAACTACACATTAGCTAGTAAGTATGAAATTTATGGGGTGAGGAGAGGATAAAATTGAGAAGTATTTATGGAAGCTTTTTTAGGGAAATAATTTGTTTTTCTCCTTATCTTCCATTATATGACTGTGAAAGCTGATTGATCTGGCTTTATTACTTTTATTAAATAATATTTTCTTATAGTCTAGGGAATATCTTTTGATTACCAAAATGTATGTAAATTTTTACCTGGGGAAGTTTAATCTCAAACACATTATTTTGATGACTTCATAGCATTATTTCTTGAATGAAATCCACCTTTGAGACTTAGAAATATACAGCATGGGGCTGAGTACAATGGCCTAGCAGCTAAAGTCCTCGCCTTGAAGGAGCCAGGATCCCATATGAGCATCAGTTCTAATCCTGGTGGCCCCACTTCCCATCCAGTTCCCTGGGAACTGGGAAAGCTTTTGAGGATGGTCCAAAGCCTTGGAACCCTGCACCCAAATGGGAGACCCAGAAGAAGCTCCTAGCTCCTGGCTCCAGGTCAGCTCAGCTCCTTCCGTTGCAATCACTTGGGGAAAGAATCATCCGAAGGAAAATCTTCCTCTCTGTCTCTCCACCTCTCTATATATCTGACTTTGCAATAAAAATAAATAAATCTTAAAAAGAAAAAAAAGGAGAGAAATATCCAGCATGATATGTAGCAGCAGATTCTTGGGTTGTTTGAGATATCCTCAGTAGCTGACATTAGTATTAGATTGTCTGTGGTATTTGAATTTATCTTCTGCTTAAACATTTCAGTTACAGCTGTCATGGGAGGAGGACAGCTGTTTAGCTTTCAATTCAGTCTTGGCACACTTGTGCTCCCTTTAAACTTCTTAGCTTGAGCTTTCTTTTATTGTATGTCACAACTGTAATGTAGTCAGCGAGGAAACTGGCCTGGTTCTCTTCAGACATTGGAAAGAATTGATCATTTCTGGGAATCTGTTCGATATTTTCTGACTAAGCAAAATGCGTAGATGATTATTTTCAGATGTTAAACTTCCCTACAGAATTGCCTGCAGAGAAATGTAACTCGAAGAAATTCACAGCAGTCATATTCCCAATTGTTCAAAACTCCAAATAGCGCAACAGACCCTTAGTAGGCAAATGATATTGAGGTGTGCTGTGAAAGAAGCCTGACGTGCTATGTAAAGTTCAAAAGCAGGAGCTGACACGATTGCTCAACTGACTAATTCTCCACCTTTAAGAGCCAACATCCTATATGGGCACTAATTTGTATCCCAGCTGCTCACTTCCCATCCAGCTCCCTGCTTGTGCCTGGGACAATGGAGGTTGGCCCAGAATCTTGGCAACCTGTTCCCATGTGTGAACTTCTGCTGTGAAGAAGCTCCTGGCTTCAGATTGGCTCAGCTCTGGCTGTTGCAGCTATTTGTGGAGTGAACCAGCTGGTAGAATATATTGCTTTGTAAATCTGCGTTTTCAAGAAAATACTTTGTTTTTTAAAAAAAAGTTCAGGGCCCAGCGCTGTAGCCTATTGGCTAAAGTCCTCACCTTGCATGCACCAGAATCCTATATAGATACCAGTTCTAATCCCGGCTGCTCCACTTACCATCCCGCTCCCTGCCTGTGGCCTGGGGAAGAGGTAGAGCATGACCCAAAGTCTAGGACTCTGGACCCACATCGGAGACCTGGAAGAAGCTCCTGGCTCCTTCAGATTGGCTCAGCTCTGGCCATTGTAGCCACTTGGGGAGTGAAACAATGGATGGAAGATCTTTTTCTCTTTATTTCCTTCTCTCTGTAAACCTGTCCTTCCAAGAAAAATAATTTTTTTTTTAAGTTCAGAAGCAGTAAAAATTACAGTATATTATTTAGTCATGAATATTTAAATAGTGTGATTATAAAGAAATGTGAGAGAGTAAATACCTTAGAAATCAGGGTATGGATGTGTAGGAGTTACCTGGAAGGCTTTGGAGGCTGGTGGGAAGGTCTGTTTCTTGGACTTTTGTTACACAGAATTTTGCTTTATTAAATTTAGCTAATCTATACCTTTATTTTGTTTTTTTTTTCTTAGGTTTTTTTTATTCTATGTTCCTTTTTGTTTCTTAGTGTTCACAATAAATAAATACGATTTTAAAAAAAGAGGAAAACGAACAGTTACCTCTCAGGGATTCTTCCAAGAAACATGGTCTATACAAGAAAGAAGGTTTCTACTCTGTCCTTCAGCCACTCAGGGGCCTGGGTTGCTGCAGGCTTTGCTGATGTAGCCTCCTGCTCTCTCAGCATGCTGGTTCAGGTGCCCCAGCAGGAAAGGTGAGGGAAGTATAGAAAACTCATACTCTCAGACGCTGTACATCAGTCCTTGGACCTGCTTCAGTACCAGGCAGTCCTCTCGGGTGACCGGAAGGCACAGGCAAGCCAGGTGATACGGAACACAAAGTCTCTATCATGTTTTACTGGAGAACAGAAATCAGACTGTTATTAAAATCACCTTCTTAGATTGTAGCTGACTGTGGAATCATGCATTTTGCTTCTTTTTTAAAAAAGCAAACAGAAGAAGACTATTTGTTTATTTGGAAAATAGGCAAAGGGGGAATAATTGCTCTTCCATGCTCCTGTTAACTCCCCAAATGGCTACAGTGTCCAGGGCCAGGATCAGGCTGAAACCAGGAGCCAAGATTGCCACGCTGCTGTCTCACAGGGGTGGCAGGGACCCAGCCATTTGAACCGTCTTCTCCTGCCTTCTCTGGTGCAGCAGCAGGAATCTGAGCAGCCAGGATTCAAACCAACAGTCTGTTATGGGGTACCAGCATAACGACTACTGGCTTAACCTGAGAGCCATGACCAGTGCCAGTCCTCAAAGCTAACCTGTTATCATCCATTTTAGGAAGTTATGAGAGGATGTAATAGAAGAAAATCAGGGAATAAATAGAAGAGGATGGTTTAGAATCTAGAGACAAAGACATTTGCACAGGGGACCACCCAGACTGGAGCAAGATCAAAGAACTATGGGAAGGGAATCACAGACTGTTTAGTATTTTTGACAATATTGAATGTTTTATGTTCTATGAGAACTTGGGCTGGGGCCCTGTGTGATGGCTCAGTAGCTAAATCCATGCCTTGCAAGTGCCAGGGTCCCACATAGCCACTGGTTCATGTCCCAGCTGCCACACTTCCCAGCTCTCTACTTGTGGCCTGGGGAAGCAGTCAAGGACAGCCCTAAGCCTTAGAACCCTGCATCCACGTGGGAGACCCGGAAGAAGCTCCCGGCTCCTGGTTCAGATTAGCTCAGCTCCAGCCATTGTGGCCATTTGGGGGATGAACCAGCAGACAGATCTTTCTCTCTGTACATCTGCCTTTCCAATAAAAAATAAGTCTTTTTTTTTTTTTAAACTTGGGCTGTGCTTGATATACAAAAGCATAGTACAAGCAAACAAAAAAAGAAGCAATGTAAGATACAAAAATACTTAATGTAAAAGTATGGAAAAGAAAATCTTAGCATATGACTCAGATATATAAAAGTCAATGTAAATATTGATAGAGATTGATAAAGTGTAGCTTTTGTGGATGACAGGATATTAAAGCTTAATAGAAAATTTTAAGATAGTATATTAAAAAGTAGAAATGTAAATGCCAGAAAAATGGCTAAAAATTGCTGTTTCTATGAAGGGAATTTCAGGAATAAGGTAAAACAAATCAAAGAACAGGAAGGACAGCTTACATTATAAGGGACATCCAGTAGGAGTGATGTCCCTTCTTAAAATTTATTTTATTATGTAGTTCCATAGGCTCTAGGATTTTTCCCTTTCCATCCTGTCAAATTTCTTCCTCCCGGCTCCTGCCCCCCCCCCCCCGCAGATTTCCCCTATATTATTACAGTAGTAATATTCAAAACAGTCATAGTCCATCATTCTGCTATTGAAGTATAAGAAATAGTGTCTTAAGTGTATTGCTTTGGCTTTTTGTTTTTAAGAAAACAGGAACAAGCAGTGCTGTATACCACTTTATATATTTACAGGAAAAATAAATCGTTTAATTTGTTTAATTTCTAAAATTATTCCATTTCCTGAAATATGTTATACAGTAGGGATCTCTGCTGAATTTGTCAGCATGGAAAGGCAAACTATTAGTGTAACATAATTGTTGTGCTTCTTAACTTAGATAAGATACCTTCTTATAATTGCTTTATTTTAACTTGCTGCCTTTGATTAAAAGAGGATGGCGCTATTTTTTCCAAGTCCTTTGCAAAAGGGTCAGGGTTTTTAAAATAAGAAATCTAGTAAAAATAAAAAGCAAGTTGTCTGATTGCCCTGCATTTTCTGTTTTAACGTTATTGCGCTATCACAGTTTAGAGTTCTCTTAGTTTCCCTTCCAGGTTCAAGTTTTTGTTCAAGCTTGGTCATAGGAGTAATGTTATCATCTTTAAATTTGGTCATGGAATGTGTTACACTGCCGGCCTCGGGGAAGTGCTGCTCCCTTTGGGCTGGGATACTAACGTTTATTTTCTTTGGCAGAGAAGCTGATCGTCGAGGGGCATCTAACCAAAGTGGTAGAAGAAACAAAGCTTGCAAAAGGTTTGTATTCTGTTTTTCCCTATGGCTTTTGATAACTCTTTTGGATCATGATGTATACGTTTTCAAGGTCATTGTGTTTTAACCATCCGATTAGGTCTTACTACTGCCGAAATGGCGGTTCTCTAAGAGTATCAGACATTAGTAAAGCTTGCTTTTTAAGACAGATATCTTGGAATTTGCTTCTAAGATGGGCCTATAAGTATTGTTTTTGAAAGTTAATTCTTAAAATAACTTTCTATGTATATTTAAGAATTTTTGTGATTTGATTTCCAGTCTTATTTTCGTCTTTGGTCACAGGATTCTAATCAAACACATAGCAAATCTTTTATAATACAGTTCAAGTAAAACATTCTTAGAATTACTTCTTTGTGGGTATAACACCTTTAAAGTACATGTGACATTTAATATTTATTACTTTTTAGAATAAAAATACAAAAAAAAATTTTTAAATACTAGTTTTTGTCATGCCAGTGTATTAAAGAGAAGTGATTAGCGTTGGGAGTATAGAATCATATTTCATAATGGAAAGTAGTTTACTATGTTAATCTGTTAGAATTGTCAGATCTAGAGAAGAAGAAAGAAGATGAAAAGTGAATTTTAAAACATGGCTTTTAAGCAAATAAATTTGCAGATATGCTCATTGTCATAGTGGAATTTTCATCAGAGTGTAAAAATTAAAACTAGATTTATAGTCTTTTTCATCAGTTAAAATGAGTAATGAGAGATTGGAATGCTAAATTTTAGTATATTCTGTTTTGTTAAAGTAAGTGGATTTATTTGTCCTTTTTTAATATTTAAAAGGTGGTATTATCAAATATCTGGGGGATTCCATTGTAAAGTTTGTGCACAGCAGATGCCATATTTGGGGAAAGAATGCATAGAATATGCATCACTAATATTGTTCTGGCAAACAGGCATTGAGTTTCAGAACAGTGAACTATTTTTAGTACCAATGGCAATTCATTTCATCTTATTAAAGTTAGATGAGAACACACTTTAAAATAGCTTTTACTTCATCACCTAAGTACTTATTCAAATTAGCTGATTGAGTAGCCAGCATTTTGAAGTGCAAGTAGAGTTAAAGAGAAAAATTTCTCAAATCAGTTAAAGAAAAGTGTCTTGGTACCTTAGTGCTTTTGATGGATGCATAGTGAATGAGAATATGTGTTTAAAATTATTTTAGTGTCACTAAGGAAAAATATTTGTGTAGTGTTGCTAACCTCCTTTTAAAGCCTGGTTATCATTGTGTATAAAAAGAGTATGGTTTTTTCCCAGCAATTCTACTTCTTGGTTTATGGGTTGCTTTTTGTTTTAAGATTTATTTATTTATTATTGGAAAGACAGGTTTACAGGGAGGAAGAGAGATAGAGGTGGAAAGGTCTTCCATCCTCTGATTCATTTCCCAAATGGCTGCAGCAGCCAGAGCCAAGCTGATCTAAAGCTGGGAGTCAGGAGCTTCTTCCAGGTCTGCCACACAAATGCAGGATCCCAAAGCTTTGGGCCATCCTCTGCTGCTTTCTTAGTAATGAGCAAGGAGCTGGATGGGAAGTGGAGCAACGGGGACATGAATTGACACCCATATGTAAGAAGGTGCTTGAAGGTAGAGGATTAGCCAGGTGAGCCATTGTGCTAGCCCTTGCTCCTGTTTTGTTTTGTTTTGTTTTTTTAAGATTTGTGTACTATTTTATTGGAAGGGAAGATTTTACATAGAGACAGAGAGAAAGTTTTTCCACTCCCCATGTGGCCACAATGGTCAAAACTGAGCTGATCCAAAGTCAGGGGTCAGGAGCTTCCTCTGGATCTCCCACATGGGTGCAGGGGCACAAGGGCTTGGGTCATCCTCTACTGCTTCCCCAGGCCACAAGCATGGAGCTGGGCGGGAAGTGGAGCAGCTGGGACATGAACTGGCACCCATATAGGAAGGAAACCAGCAGATGGAAGATCTTTGTATTTCTCCTCTCTGTAAATCTGATCTGCCTTTCGATAAAAATAAATCAAACCTAGATAACAAGGAAAACACGTATCTACCTAATTGAAAAGGAGAAAAGAGATCTTCTCTCTGCTGGTTCACTTCCCCAAAAGACTGCAACCAGGCTGGGCCAAGTCAAAATCAGAAGGCTGAAACTTAGTTTGGGGCTTTCCCGTGGGCAGATGGTGTACAGATACTTGAACCATCATCTGCTGCTGCTTGGGATATACATCTGCAGAAAACTGGATTGGAGGAAGAGCCAGGCCTCAAAGGATGTCTACGTGCTAAGCAGCAACTTAACCACCACACCAAATGCTTGTCTTTTTTTGTTTTACTTTTCCTTGTAAGAGAGGCAGAGACACAAATCTCCCAACTTCTGCTACACTCCTCCAGTGCTCATAACAGCTGGTACTGCTGCGTCAGGTCAAAGCTGGGAACCAAGAACTCGTTTTGTGTCTCTCATGAGGGTGGCAAGGAGCCATCATCTGCTGCTTCCTGCAGTGCACAGGAAGCTTAAATTGGGAGTGGAGCCAGGACCTACACCTTGCCGCTCTGATATGGTTCTCTCCCAAACAGTAGCTTAACCAATATGCCACATATTTACCCCAGCAATGACTGCTTAATATTAGAAAGTTAAATGCTGCTTCAGAAGTAAAGAAGAGGTTAGCTTTTTAAAAATTTCTGTTTTTGTGAGAGACAGACACACAGAACTACTGTCTGCTTGTTCACTCCCCAAATTCCCACAGCAGATGGGACTGGGTGGGACCAAATCCAGATCTGTAATGTGGGTGACAGGAAAACAGCTGAGCCATCACCACTACCACCTAGTGTCTATATTGACAGGAAACTGGAGTCAGGAGCTAAAACCAATGATCAAACCGTGGTTCTCTAATGTGAGACATAGGTGTGTTAACCAGCATCATAGCTCTTAGGCCAAATGCTTTCTCCAAAATAGAAGTTTTGAAAAGACATGTTTCATTCTTGAATGGAGTTGGTTTACCTCCAAGCAATCACTATATTATCAGGAATCAACAATGATAGATCATGAGTTGACTTAATAAAAGCTTGCCGTTTTACTCAAAAGTAGATATGGGCCCTTAAGTCTTTTTCAGTCTTTTTTGAACACTGTTCTATACATTGGGAATATAGCAGTTAATGAAATAAACGCAAACTTCCGCTCTCATGCAATATACATCCTGGTAAGATCTTGATGGAAGATTGGATATCCCACCTTTTGAGGCAATTAATTCCACCTTCCCAGCCAGTACTCTAAATATAGAATAAAAGTTACTTCTAAGCCAGAGGAATGCTTCTGAAAATACCCTGCTATTGCTTTACTTTGATATCTTGATCATAAAATTGCCAAAAATACTAAAATCTGAGAAGAGTCTCTTTCCTGTTTCCTTTTCTGTTCTTACAAAGTGGTTGCTTTTCTATCCATATATAGAGGTTAGATGTGTTGGCCTGTTTTACTTGAGATAGTAACTTTGTGATTATAACTGGAACATTCAGAAATGTCTGACTGTACCACAGTATGAATGCAGCAGAGGTTCCAGATTAGATTCCTGGGGCCTTTGTGGTCTGTGACTTCACTTCTAATCTAAGCCCCTGTCACTCAGAAGCTGACCTTTACTACAAATGGCAACCAGGAAAAAGGAAAAGGCTTCTTGTAATTCATCATTTGTTTCAGAATTAACGCACAGATTTAAAAATGTTCTTACATGAAGTAGCCTTAAGTTATATTTTAATACTTTATTGGATATTGACAATAGTGGTTTTACATGTCATTGATTATAAAACTGTATATACTCCAAAAATTTTTTAAATATACCCACATTGAAACTATTGACATTAAAGGACCCATCTCCCCTTATCAACAAGCCTTTCTTGAATACCTAAAATGCTAATAGCTGAGAATAGTCAGTTGCCTGCCTGCTGCATCGCTACTTGCTGTCTCATAGCAGTTATCATTGCTAAGTATCTGCTGAAATGTCTTTTTAGGCTCCCTGATAAAACTAGACAGAACCATCAACAGCCAACATTACGACTGGAATCTTCAGGGAACAATTCATATTGGAGATTACCTCATGGTTCATTATGGTGTCAAATAACACTCTGATGTGTTTCAGAAGCCATCTTAAACATGTTAATGTGCATACACAAAAGTCTTTCCACACCCTTTTTCTCTGTGTCTGCTTTTTTCCATCACTTGTTTTTACCCAGTTATGTCCCATTTACCCTAACTGTATAAATCCCAAACACCTATCTGAATAGGGAGATAGACTTGGTTTTGATTTTTGTTCCTTGGTCACATTGCAAGCTTATAATAAACCTTTGCTTTCTCAGAAGGTTTACAGTCTGGCATTTTTCTAAGGATAACACAGAGGTAGGGCAGGCCTGTTGCTTGGCAACAGGATGACTATTTGAAATCAGAAAGTAAATGTCTGAAGTGTCCCCACTGCCAGAAATAACCACTGAGAGCCCTGTTACAGGCCTTCCCAGAACTTGAGTAAGTAAATGTAGTTAAAGGGGCATCTATTTTCAGTCTACTTCAGATTATATTATATATACTGCTCTTCAATTGTTATCCATTAGTAATAACTATATTATAATAATGGAGTGTATAGAATATTTTCTATTTCATAATAGATTTAATGTTCTTCATGAACAGTTCTGCAATGAGCACCTTTATATATTATACAGTGCATCAGCTACTGTTTCCTTGGGACTGGAACTTAGAAGTGGGTATGCATAATTAAAATTTTTATTTCACATTGCCACAAATATGTTCAAGTAGATAACATTATTTTTAAAACATATGCTTTATGACTATAATCTCCTGAAGGGAATAAATATGCACACACACAGAATGGTATAAATAGAACATGAGTAATTTCTAAGAAAATACAGAAGATGTAATAAAAAGGAACAACATACTAGAAAAATGAAGACTTCCTTAGAGATAAAGGAGCTTAAACTGTCTTACAGAGGGGCCAACGTGATAGCTTAACTGACTAATCCTCAGCCTATAAACACTGTAGTACATACCATATTGTAGTGGTTTGTATCCTGGCTGCTCCATTTCCCATCCAGCTCCCTGCTTATGGCCCAAAGCCTTGGGAACCTGCAGTTGCATAGGAGAACCGAAAGAAGCCTGTGATTCCTGACTTTGGAAGAGCTCAGCTCTGGCCATTGCAGCTATTTGGGGAGTAACTAGCAGATAGAAGATCTTTGTGTCTCTCCTCTCTGTAAATCTGCCTCTCCAATTAAAAATAAAAATTTTAAAAGATTTATCTATTTCCTGTTGGAAAGGTAGATTTACAGAGAGGAGAGACAGAAAGAACTTCCATCCTCTGGTTCATTCCCCAAGTGACTGCAACAGCTGGAGCTGAACTGATCTGAAGCCAGGATCCAGAGCTTCTTCTGGGTCTCCCACATGGGTGGGTGCAAGGGTCCCAAGGCTTTGGGCCATCCTCAACTGCTTTCCCATGCCACAAGTTGGGAGCTGGATGGCAGATGGAGCAATCGGGAGATGAATTGGCGCCCATATGGGATCCTGGCACATGCAAGGCAAGGATTAGAAATATATCTTTTTAAAAAAAAAAAAAAAAAGGAAAGAAAAGTACTTTATAGAACGTGTAAGCCACACAAGAGAAAATCACTTTCAATGTCAGGGAAAAGCAAACTCAACCAATATGGGCACTAGTTTGAGTCCTAGCTATCCCACTTCTGATCCAGCACCCTGCAAATGGCCAGGGAAGCAGCAGATAGCCTCATTTAGCTCACCCACAAGGGAGACCTGAATGAAGCACTTGGTTTCTGACTTTGACCTGGTCCAGCACTGGCCATTGCCAGCCGCCATCTGGGAAGTGATCCAGCCAGTGGAAGATCTCTGATCTCTGTCCCCTCTGCCTCTCCTCTCTCGTAGTGTCTTTCAAATAAATGAACAAATCTTCAGTTTATTCCCAATGTATTCAAATATACAAGGGGTCTTCAAAAAAATTCATGAAAAACCTGTATTCTTAAAAAAAAAAACTGAATGGGTTTCAAAACTTTTGTTAGGAAAAAAAAAAACTTAAATTCCATTTTTTCACAAACTTTTTTTGAGCTTTTGCTGTAACTGTACTTTAAAAAGTTCATCAAGGGTCAGTCATTTGCCACAGCAGTTAAGTCCCTGCTTGAAGTACCCACCTCCCATGGTAGATTACTGGAGTTTTAGTCCCAGCTCTGCGTCTAACTCCAGCTTCTTACTAAGGTATGTCCTAGGAGACAGAAAATTGTGGTCTATGGGGTTCCTACCACACCCGGTAAGGATTGAACCCCTGGCTCTTGGCATCAGTCTGGACCAGACCTGACTGGTGCTGGCATTTGGGGAAGTAAATCAGCAGATGGAAGATTTGTCTGACTCTCTTTGAAATAAACATACATGTATTTTTTAAGCTCATAGAAAAGGAAAGTTAAAAAAAAAGTCTATTTTGTGCCTCAAAAATCATGAAAATAATACATAGTTTTTCATGATATACATTTCCATGGACTTTTTAATTCTCTTTTTAGAAATAAAATATTCTCAGTTTCCCATTTTAAATTATGCTTTTATATCAAATAGTTGTGATTTTTTTTTTTTAGTTATAAAGAGTTTTATTATGAGTATAGATGTTTCTAGGACAACCTCTTAGCTAGTGTTTTTCATATAAAAGAGTCTTTTCCTTTCATCATCCTCATACAATGTCCACATTGTCCTGGGAATTTTGCTATATTTGTTGCGGTTCCCTGAACTTTAGCAAAGCTTGCTTCATTTTTTGTTTCCATTTGGCAAATAGACAACCTTGAACAAAAGCCCCAGCCCTCTGAGCAGCAGACATGAGCCACATGGTAATTTAACCTGAGCTGCGTGTATTAACCTGCATTCCATTTTGGACCAGGGTGCTGAAGAAGTAAGAGATTTAATCATCCTTACTGATTCCTACAGTATTTTGCATAGAAGTGGATTATGAGCATTCATTCCCTGAAGCATTTCCAGATATTTGTTATCTTGAGATTTTACTTTTCTTCTTTTCTCTGTAGAAAACCAGTCAAGAGCAAAGGAATCTGATTTATCCGATACTCTGAGTCCGAGCAAGGAAAAAAGCAGTGACGACACTACGGGTAAGTCCATGTAGCCTGATGCTTTACAGCCTGTGGTTGTATTTGTTATTGGCAGTTTAAGTATAGAATTTAATGTACGTAGAGATCTCTAAGTTTTTATTTTGAGAAGGAAAGCAGTGCTTGTTTTTTTAATCAGGTCACTCCCTTGAATTTAGGATATTTTGCTAAAACCACTTTCAACTATCTAAATGTAATACCTATGTTAAGTTCTGATTATTTCTTTTCATAATGATAGCTTGCTGGTATAGCTGAGTATTGACTGTACTTGTCTTCCTCCCCTCATTAGACGCCCAGATGGATGAACAAGACCTAAATGAACCTCTTGCTAAAGTGTCCCTATTAAAAGGTACTTTCATATTTTGAAGAAATTAAGATAGGTTCTGTAAAGTAACAGGAAGTAAAATTCAAAGTTGATAATTGGTGTTCTATGCTTCAAATAAAACTATGTAAGTTGTAAAATAATTTGAATCAGTAAATATTGTGAAGGGTAAAATGGTATATGTAGAACATGAAATGTAACTGTAATTTTTTGTTGGCTCTCTCATCTCTGATAGGAACTTACTATTGCTAGTAATTAAGGTAAAAAAAAATCATAACTTTACCAAAACAATTATTTACTTGTTACAGTTGTAAATCTCTTCATTTTACGGCCTTCTTCTTCATCTAATAAATTTTGCAGATAGAACTAAAATACAAAGTGTACAAGAAAGGATAAGCGATATATATGCAAGAAAGAGTTTAGAGGAGGACCCATGTTGAGTCGGTGTGTGTGCGTGAGAGTGTGTGTGAGTGTGTGTGTGTGAGAGAGAGAGAGAGAGAGAGAGAGAGAGTGTGTGTGTGTGTGTGTGTGTGTGTGTGTGTGTGTGTGTGTGTGATGTGGGGAAATGGTGATGAAAGTGGGCGCAATAGGGCCTACTTTTCATTTTATGTTTCACAACTGAGTTAACTGTACTAAATGTTTTTCCTTGAAGGCAAGTTTTCACTTTTCCATTTCCAGTTTCAAGTGAAGGTTTCCTGACTTGTTATCAAGAAATTCAAAAATTGATAAGAATTGTATTATGCCCATTTCAATGAATTTCAAGTGTTATTAAACTCTACATTAATGGAATATGTAATTTAACATGCAAATGTCTGCTGTAATATCATTATCGTGAGTTACTAATATGTATTTTTAACTGTGCTCTTTCTCCAGGATAAAATGACTAAAAATACTTACTATAATTTGCTTCTAGATTTTATTTAACTTTTCTTGTGCTATCTTGGTTATGCATGTCTCAACACAAAAGAGATTGACATTCTTTTGTTGTAAAGATTATGGTGTGACACTAACTCTTGCTTCTAAAATAAACATGTTTTTGTCAGATGACTTGCAGGGTGCACAGTCAGAAATTGAGGCAAAACAAGAAATACAGCATCTTCGCAAGGAATTGATCGAAGCCCAGGAGCTAGCTAGAGCAAGTAAACAAAAATGCTTTGAACTTCAAGGTGAGATCCAGATTGCTTTGATTCTTTAAGGAATATGTGGAAGCAACATGGTTGAATTGGATGGACCCAAACTTGGAATCCAGAGTATATATACTAGTTGTACCTAGTGGTAGCTACTTTACAAGATAATTTACAAGGGAAATATATATTCCTTCTGATTTTTATAAATACATTCATCAATAAATGAAAGAAAGCAGGCAAAATTAAAGGGCAGCATCTGCCAACATCCCAGCTGCTTTACTTTCTAACAGCTCCCTTACCTTTGCTATCATAAACCAGTAGTCTGTGATATTCACTAGAACTTACATTCCACATCATTGATAGTAATTACCTGGTGGCAGTCAGTAAATATTTTTGGAGTGTCTTAAAATGGGGAAAAATTAACAGTCCATAAAGTCCTGCTGTTTTCTAAGATGACCTTCTTGACCAGGAAGAAAATTTAACCTACTAGGAGGGAACAGGGACTTCCGTTACTAGTTCTTCGTTTCCTGTTTCTTGAAGAAATTGGAACTGGTAGTCATTTAGTTGAACCCTTTACAGGGTACAGACTAATATAGTTAATCCCAAGAAAAAAATAAACTTTACTCTTCAGCAATTATTTAGTACTTTGGGTTGGCAGTAAACATGAGGAGTTTAAATCTGGCTTTTAAAAATTCAAGCTCAAAACACTGATTAGCAATTATCAAGAATTTTTTTTCATGTGAGGAATAGCACATATTATTTTAAAGGTACATGTCTACTCAATTGGTTAAATTGTTACTTACCACTGTTTTATGCTCCTAAAATCTAAACTATCTAACTGATAATACTTACTGTGTAATTTTTGTTAATTTCAATATTCTAGAAAGAATTTCATAGGAACTGCTAGCTGCTCAATTCTTAATACTTTCGTTACTTCCTATAATTAGATATAATGTGTTTTTGTGTTTAGCTCTTTTGGAAGAAGAAAGAAAAGCCTATCGAAGTCAAGTTGAGGAATCCAGCAAACAGATACAGGTTCTTCAAGGTATGGAACACACCAAGGATGTTTAAAATCCTTATTCTCTGCTTTTAGTGATTCAAAAGAAACAAAGAGTAAGCAGACTGGGGTCCTTTTTCACAGCTTCAATTCTCTAAAACCTTACATTATAACCAGGTCTTTGTGGAGCCTTTATTTTATTTGACTTTATTTTTATTTTATTTTATCTTATTTTATTTTATTTTTATTTTTAAAAGATTTTCTGTATTTTTATTGGAAATGCAGATATACAGAGAGGAAGATCTTTCATCCGATGACTCACTCCCCAAGCAGCCGCAATGGCTGGAGCTGAGCCAATCCGAAGCCAGGAGCCAGGAGCTCTTCTGGGTCTCCCACAAGGGTGCAGGGTCCCAAGGCTTTGGGCTGTCCTCGACTGCTTTCCCAGGCCACAAGCAGGGAGCTGAAAGGGAAGTGGAGCAGACAGTTGTTCCGCTTCTGATCCAGCTCCCTATTGATGGCCCAAGTGTTTGGGGCCCCTGCCAACCATGTGGGAGACCTGAACTGAGGCTCTGGCTTCGGTCTGACCCAGTGCTGGATGCTGAGACCTTCTGGGGAGTGAACTAGTGAACGGAAGATATCTGTCTTTCCCTCTTTCTCTGTGACTCTGTCTGTCAAATACATCTTAGAAATTCTTTCTAAAATTTATTTAATTAATAGGAAGAGAACAATATATATGTAGTATAATCTCTTCCTGTTAATATTTGATTTTTATCTATGTATAAAAACATAGGAAATAATCTAGAAGAATGAAAACAAAACGTTATTTCTCTCTGGGGAGAGGAAATAAATATCACTTTGACTTTTCTTTTTGGAACCTGTATTTTGACATTTTTTGCATCAGATATGGATTTGCCTATACAGTTTAAGCAAAAGCAACAGTGTTGAGAACTGGGCTGCATAATAGCTACACATGTGAGTTGTTCTTTTATTCCTAAGTCTTGTATATGAAGAAAGTGATGAGTCATATACTTTTGTAGCCCAGCTGCAGAGGTTACACATGGATATTGAGAATCTCCGGGAGGAGAAGGACAGTGAAATCTCAAGTACTAGAGATGAATTGCTTAGTGCCCGGGATGAAGTTTTGCTCCTTCATCAAGCAGCAGAAAAGGCTGCTTCTGAGCGGGACACTGACATTGCTTCTTTGCAAGAAGAGCTTAAGAAGGTGAGAGCCGAGCTTGAGCGGTGGCGGAAAGCAGCCTCGGAATATGAGAAAGAAGTCACGAGTCTGCAGAGCAGTTTCCAACTTCGCTGTCAGCAGTGTGAGGACCAGCAGAGAGAGGAAGCCACAAGGTTGCAAGGTGATTGGGCTCTTTTATAGAAAGCTCTTAACTCTGGACAGCGGTAACTTCCTCACTCGTGAGAAAGAATTGTTCAGCCTTTTCCTCTCTGATAACAATCAATTGTATAAAAGCACTGAAGTGTATATGTTGGAGTTTTAAGCGTTTTCTTTAGATCTGCAGGCTCTACAAGCTAAAGAGCTGGGTTTTTGTTTTTTTTTTTTTTGTAATTTCCTATCTTATTTAAGTAATATTGAGTAATGTTGAAATTATTTGCATAATGAAAATGAAGTGGAAAAGAATACTTCTCCAATAGAATTTCTTGGATATGGATGCAAAGTAAGCAGAATCAAAGAACAGCCATGTAAAGTATTCAAGTGGGAAAAGTATATTCTCTGAAATACCATTACCGTTTGAATTATTTTGGAAATTACATTCCGCTATTAACAGGTATGATTTGGAACTATTTTAGGTGAACTGGAGAAGTTGCGAAAGGAATGGAATGTATTGGAAACCGAATGCCATTCTCTAAAAAAGGAAAATGTCTTGTTATCCTCAGAACTGCAACGACAGGAAAAAGAATTGCACAAGTATGCAAGAACTCTCTTGTAGCTTCAAAATATGTCTTTATCTTGAATTGTTATCTGAGTTTAATGGATTTTTGATATTTAAATACCTTCCTGGTGTATTCATGGAATATAAATTCATTAAATTTCTCTCACCCCTTTGAAAAACCTAAACATCAAAGATGTGCAATTAGTAGTTGAACTTGCCTTGTAAATTTCAGTAATGTTTTTCTTTCATGCCAGTAACCCTTTCTGTTAGTGACTAGGTGACCATGAAAAAGAACATATACTGAGAGATAAAAATTCAGCTTCTGAATTTGAGAGAATTATATGAAGAGAAATAATATGTAAGATCAAGAATTCTCAAAAACTGCTTGAATCATTTTAGTATCCAGTCCCTTACAGGCAAACCAATGAATGCATTATATTTGTTCAAACAAATATAATGGAGTCAAGTCTCCTTAATGACATTTGTCATATTTCAGTTTATTTAAAGTTGGTTTCCTCCTTAAAAGCTTGGTTCATTCTATTGAATGGTTTTTGTGTATTCATTTTCAATTTGTTTGCAAGAGATAGAAACTAGAAAGAGATAGAGATCCTCCATCTGCAGGTCCAATTCCCAAATGTCAGCAACAGCTGAGACGGAATGGGGCTTTAGCCAGCAGCCTTGAACCCCATCCAGGTTTCTCTCTATTAAGGGTAGCTAGCAGGGACCCAACTACTTAATGCATCATCACACATTGCATTCCAAGATGCACATTAGTAAGCTGCATCAAAAGTAGAAATGGGGGTCTGACACAGTAGCCTATTGACTAAAGCCCTTGTCTTGCACATGCTGGGATGCCATGTGGGCACTGGTTCCTGTCCTAGCTGCTCCATTTCCCTTCCAGCTCCCTGCCTGTGACCTGGAAAAGCAGTCAAAGATGGCCCAAAGTCTTGGGACCATGCACCCAAGTGGGAGACCCAGAAGAGATTCCTGGCTCCTGGCTTTGGATTGGCGCAGCTCCGGCCATTGCGGCCGTTTGGGGAGTGAATCAGTGGATGGAAGATCTTCCTCTCTGCATGTCTGACTTTCCAATAAAAATTTAAAAAAATAAATCTTTAAGATATTACCTAGCATATAATCACTATGTGATTTATACTCTGCAATTCCTTAATTAATAGGTTTGATTCCGTTTTTTTTTTTTTCTAAGATTTATTTATTTTTGTTGGAAAGGCAGATTTACAGAGAAGGAGAGACAGAGAGAAAGATCTTCCATCCACTCCCCATTCACTCCCCAGTAGCTACAATAGCCAGAACTGAGTGAATCCAAAGCCAGGAGCCTCTTCTAGGTCTCCCATGCAGGTGCAAGGTCCCAAGGCTTCACGCCATCTTCAACTGGTTTCCCAGGCCACAAGCAGGGAGCTGGATGGGAAGTGGAGCTGTCAGGGTTAAGACCAGCACCCATATGGGATCCCGGCACATGCAAGATGAGGACTCTAGCCATAGGCTTCTGCGCCGGGCTCTCTGTTGGTTTTTATAGGAAGGAAATTGTACAGTTCCACTACCCTATTTTGCCTTCATTCTCTGTTGTCTGTGATATAAAAGAAGGAATTGAACAAGAAGTTTCTACTCCTGTGTATCAAGCTGTTTTACTGCTATTCATATCATGTTTTTTGTTTTAACATCAGATTATAGAAGTGATCAGAATTAAACCTATAGCACAGCTTCAGATAGGATTGCATTCATGCCTCTTATTTGACATTGTGGATCACTAAGATCCTCTGGTATTGTTTGTGTCTGTATAATATGGCACAGACATGCAGGCTCAAGAGTATTTAAGTAGAAAACATGCCACAGCTCAGTCGTGTCAGGGGCACCTCGTTTTTCATCCCAGGATTAGTGTTTTCCCCCAGTTTGGTGTCTTCTCATTAAAGCAGTTTTGTCTTTTTGACTTGGCAGTAGCTCCTAAGCTTGTAAGTTTCTGACTCTGTCCTTTTTGTCAGTCACTTAAACTTACTAGAAAATAAGTTGAATAATACATATATATTTTTTTCCTATAGAAGATAGTTTTTCATGACATAATAAATATATAATTTGGCCTAACAAAATATAAAAGTATATACCTCCTAATTCTTTTGCATGTTTTTTCCATCTGTGTGTATTTAGTAGAATACAGCTTTAAACATATAATTTCTTCAATGCTTGTTATTTTATGAAACATCACATTTTTTTTTATGCTTTCCTGTCCTCCTCTGGAATCCATTCTGTCCCTCCTAGTGAGATATGTAAGAAATTGGACTTCCTGCTGTGTCCCATTTTTTGCCGACGAATAACTACCTGTCAACATTTGTGTTGCAGTTCTCAGAAGCAGAGTCTAGAGCTTACCAGTGATCTCAGCATCCTCCAGATGACTAGGAAAGAGCTTGAGAACCAAGTGGGGTCCCTGAAGGAACAGCATCTTCGGGATTCAGCTGACCTAAAAACTCTCCTCAGTAAGGCTGAAAACCAAGCAAAGGATGTACAGAAAGAGGTAAAGCGAAAAGACATTATGAGCCCAATTATGGTTGGACTTAAAGCCACAAGCAAATCAGATATCCATGCTAGTTAGAAGTAAAGGGAAGCAGAAGTTCCATTAACTGTCACAAAGTTGATCCTTGGAGCATCCCTGTTTGGTGATTTCTACCTGTGTAATATGATTCATCAGCAGAGTTTGGTTTCAGAAATACAGATATGCATAATTGCGTTTTAATTTTTCTTTGCAAGTTAGTTGACCTATATGAGAAGCCCTTTGTGCCCTGTCCCTCAATCTATTGTTTATCTTTCAAAGACAATATCTTCTATAATTTCGTCTAGAAAGCAGACTAGAGCCATACTGTAATGCTGTTTGAACTCCTCAGGTGAAGCCAACCTGAAAAGTTACTTAAAATTCACCTCATCATCACTCAGCCAACCACATGTTTTATAATCTTTTTACTTTCATCTCCCATCCCCTTTTTTCTTCTTCACCAGCATGCATGTTCATCTCTCATGATTTGTTGCTTAAAACCTTGGCTTGGCAGCTATTTAATTAAGGATGTTAAAAATAATAAGAGTTAACTTTAAAGCAGAGACCTTCCAAGGCTTTGGAATTGGCTGCAGCGCAGTAAGAGCTGCACTCAGCAGTGTGCTCCTTGGTGCTCCTTGCATCTGCACCTGGCCTGCTTAGGGGATGGAAAGGCTGCTAAGGCCTGATCTACTGATCAAGGACCATCCCAATTGTTGACTGTCTTAAATGAAGGACTCTATAAGTTGGAAGGAAGCTGTGGACTCACTTTTTTAATAATGACTTTCCCAAAATTATTTCTTAAAAAATTGTTTTATCAATGCTGTTTTTCTTTGCCTTCTCCTTTCCTTGTAGTATTCTGAACTTGGAAATGATTATTGTTCTGTCTTCATGTTTGTTCCTAAAAAAAAAAAAAAAAGCTGTAAAATTCATGTGGACATATTGGTTATGTAATATGTTCATTTTTACCTTGCAAAGGATATGTGTTTTAGGAGAAATCTCATTTATTTGGTTGGAACACAAATTTTGTGCCAAAGTAAATATCCTGGTATTTAATACTGTAAGCACTTTGTGTCCTTCCAGTCCATATGCCATAATTCTTTCAGAATCTGGGAAGACTGCTATGGTTGGAAGATGATTCTGTTATATGTTACTGTGAATGCATTAGCCATTTTGTTGCATTATTTGTTCGCTGTTTTTGGTCACTGAGCAGTCAGTGCAAAATGCTTTAACTGTTTCCACAAATGGCAGTGGCATGTTGTCACGATATCTAAATTGTTGATAGTATTTGGATTGCATTAAATGCAGCATATTTAAAAAATGTCTGATCTTGTCAATATGTTTCTTCTCAATTTTCTTGTTCACTGTTTTCCATTGTGAAATGCTGTATATATAGTCAGTCATAATCCTGTGAAAATGTGAACTTGCTATCTTTCCGTTTGTCCTGTTGTCAACATATTTGATACTAGTCTGTAACTAAAATAATTTTTAATGAGGTTCTTACTGGTATAAGCCACTGCAAATGAATAATCACCTTTTAACACACTTATAACTGCCTACATTTCCCCTTTCTCTCCTCACAGAATCATACTTAAGGTGCAGTGCAGTGCTATGATTGTATATCTTTCTCATTGTAACAGCCTCTTCTATTATTAGAAGCAAGCTCAGACATGTTATTTTTATGAATAAGAACTAAAGATGTTTTATGATATTGTGTGATATTTGCCTCTTAATTGGGGCTGAGCTTGTTTCCACCCCAATTGGAAAGCAAGATGGAAAAAAAAAAATGACATACAAGCAAGGTGTGAAATTTAAGCTGCAGAAAGTGACCTTTGTTCCACTAGTTAAATTTTATTTATATATTTGTGGCAGTGTTCAGATGAATACTTAAAGCATATGAGAAAAATAAATTTTAAATCTCAGTATTAAGAGAAAATAATGGCATATCATCTTTATATTTGACTGTAGAAACCATCTACTATTTTAATTTCATCTGATTTGCCATTACTTAATCATAACAATCGTAAGATGTTGAGCACACGAGCTCACACTGCAAAAGCTGATTCGGAAAAGCTGTTTGGCTTCACCACTTGGCTGTGGGGCCAGAGTCTTTTGCAGCCCCTCCTTCTGGAAGGAACAGCAGGATCTTCCTGACAGAGCTGCAGCCTTCCTCTGCTTCTGCTGACAAGGCCTAGAATAATTAAATGCTTTAATGTAAAGCGCAGGCTGGATCTAAGATTGGTGGAAAAGGAAAGCAAGGGAAATTTGTGGACAGCAAAGAACTTTTTGCTTCTTCTTTCTTAGTTATTGTTGAGAGTCAGATTGTGTCGTGGATCACTGAGAATTGATTAGTTTTGAAGGTGCAGAAACTAGGCCAGGTAGAGTGACTTTGCTTTGGCAGCCTTCCAGTAACCTTCTGCGTCTTGGAAGGAAATCACAGACCTTCACATCCACTGGAAAAAACTGCGGTAAAGGATTCTTTAGTTCATTCTCTGGCATAGCACCCAGGTTTATGCTGGGAACATTGTTAGGTGACAGTTTCAGGTTTTGTCTCTTCTCCCCCCGCTCCCCCATCCCTCACCTCTGTACTCTTGTGTTTCTTCTCCCTTTGTAGTAATCTGTGTGTTGGCGTTAACCACTTCCTCTGGCCTCTCTCTTCTAGTGTTATTTTTTTACATTTTCATTCTTTCTTGTATTTATATTTTAATGGAAAAGAGCTTCCATGCACTGTTTATTCTACCAAATTGTGTAAGAGCCGGGGCTAGGCTGAGCCAAAATCAAGATCTGCAGCTCAATCCAGGCCTCCTGTGTGAGTGGCAGAAAACTTCCAGCTTGAGCCATCATTGCTGCCTCCCAGCATGTACATTAGAAAGCAGGTGGTATTGGGAGCAAAGCTGGGGCCGAAATGCTGGCCCTTCAGTATGAAAGGCTTCCCAAGCAGTGTCCTAACCGTGAGGCCAAATGCCCACCACAGTATTCATCTTTTTTGAGCATACTGATGAGTTCCTAATTAGTCCAAGATGCTTGAATTATTTAAAAACACCATTAATAAAGTTTCCTTTATTAAAGAATTTTTATGGTATAAGTAGTTTTGAAACTGGAAACTTTGCAGCCTTATAGGCTATAATGGAGAAAGTAGTGGAATCTCTGGTATGACATACCCATGGTGTATGTATTTCCTGTTTGGTGCTTCTCCTTCTGTCTTCCTTCTAAAAGCTTCAAAGATGCTAGTGTGGGACAGCAGAGGCAGGGAGGAAGACACATCTAGTAGCAGAACAGTCTCTGCTCTTTGCCTGGAAGCCTGGCTTGCAAGAAAGATGTCTAAAAGTGGAACCTGTAGAATTCTAACTTCCTAGGGCCTGTTAAAGTAGGAGCAGATCACACCTCATTTTACTTTGGTCTCACTTATGTTCCAGGGATTTCATTTGTCTGAAAGTCACATTACAGTGAACCATTTCCCAGGACAGACAGTAGCAAGTTTCATTATAAGTAAAGCTTCTTTCGTAAACAGATGTCTAAAAACATTTTAAACTATATTTATCTGAGAGAGCAAAAGAAATAGCCCCCTCCCAGAAGTTGACTCCCCAAACGCCCGCAATGGCTGGAACCAAAGGCTACAGCCAGGACTCAATCCAGGTCTGTCAAGCAGGTGGCAGGAGCTAAACTACTTGAACTGTCACTCGCTCCTCCCGAGGTGTGGTGGGAAGCTGTAATCCGGAGCATAGCCGGGACTTGAACCCAGATACTCAGAGACAGTATCTTAAGGTTAAGGTTTAAGGATTAAGGTTTCTTAAACAGCATCTTGACTCTGTACCTAGTACTTGTCCCTAAAATTATTTTTAACTGATGCAAGCCTTATGTAGAAAAGATCAGAATTTCCCATAGTGCTAAATATTTAGATTTATTTTGTGTTTCATTTAACTAAAAATCTCAATCAGAACATTTTAGTACATAATAATGCTGGATAAAGAAAAACCTATTGGGAGTTAATACTTTTTACTTCAAGGCTAAATAGCTTGGGTGACATTGTCCAGGATATAAATCCAAGCTTTCTAATATTGCCATTTAATTTGGCTATGGAATTTCTTCCTTCCTTCTTCCCTTGCTTGCTTTCTTTCTCTGTTTCTCAGTTTACAATTTTCCTTTTCTCCTATAATTCACTTGGTGAAAAAGGTGAAAAGTGATCCTTTGTATTAGAAAAAGATGACAAAATGGTGACTCCTGTTAATTTTTCTTTTACACGTAAGGGCCAGAATATTCTTAAAGAAATTCAAGGTAACTATTAAAGACAAGAGTGTATGTGAATCTTACCCTGCTTAAACCAGGAAGCCTTGACTTCGGCCTTGCAGGTGACTGAGTAGGGTCTGGTATATAAGCCTGAATAGCACCATAACTTCATGCCCATTTTAAGTTGAGTCTGCACAATTTTTTTTCTTTGCCTTTAGTATGAAAAGACACAGACTGTACTCTCAGAACTGAAGTTGAAGTTTGAAATGACTGAGCAGGAAAAGCAATCAATCACAGATGAGCTCAAACAATGTAAAGACAACCTGAAGCTGCTCCAAGAGAAAGGAAATAATAATGTAAGTCTTTGCGAATTTGGCTTAGCTTTGACTGAAAGGCAGGTGAGAGACTGGAAATGGATTTTCAGAGGACTGTATTACTGATCTGGGAACTAATGGCCTGTGATACAAATGAAATAAGCTTTTCATTATGAAATTCTACAATAGAATCATTGTTATTAGTTTCTTTTAGTAGGAATTTGCCCTTTTACCTGTACCCCTCGAAGGCACCAAGTCCTGCGTGGATTGCCCTGTTTGCAATCAAAAGAGCTAACCTGTCAGCTTTTCCCACTTGAAGTCTGAAGTTCTGTCACTAAGCCATCATCTTGCTCTTTTTCCTCCTTTGCTGAGAAATGAAGCACTGTACCACCAGGGATCCATTTAAGGGAAAGTAGTACAATACTAATCCTTAGCATTTGGTTCTATTCCCCCCCAAAAAAAATGGAGACTTATTTATGGTTTTCGTTTTATACTAATAATGTTCTCACCAAGGTACATCCTAAAAGTGTAGTGTCTCCCTGGCATCCTGTAAATATTAGAAAATACTTGGTGAATTTCTGCAGGACTTTCAGTGAGAAAAAGTTGAGAATATTCTGGCACTGGTATAAATTGAGTCCAATTGTGTTTGGTTCCATTTGTGAGAAAGGCAGATGGTCTTTGATGAGCTGTTATACTAAATAAGTGTTGTGTTGTGTGTTCTTGGTGATCATCGCCTTTGTGGGCCCTAACTGATGGATGTTCAGTGTGATTGGTTGTGCTCTGATTATTCCAGGCTCTTGTCACGGCTTGGCCACTGCAGAGGGTGTGAGCCACGTGCTTCCTGCTGAAGAAGGCACTCTGCCTAACTTGCAGCACGAGGCTTCCGAGTGATGTTGCATGGCCGTCCAGTTACGCAGTTGCACACAGAATGCTCATGAGATGTGTCCAACTGCCCTTTGCTTAAGAAAGTCTTGATTTGTAAGCAACAAAGGCTTACTGCTTAGACGGAAGCCTTTTAAAAGTTGGTGGATTGTATATGGAAGCTCTATGCTAAGTGAAAAATAGATTTCATTTTATGAGAATAAATCTACAGTTTAACATGTAGATGATAGAACTCTTCTAAAAAATCATACAATAGTAGTTTCATTACTTTTGTCTTAATCCATATCCCTCTGATTAAGGTATTTCAGTCTACTTCCTATTAAATAAGCCTACAAAAACATTTGGCATAATCAAAATCCTCCATAAGATAATTATATTCTGCTAACATATCAAAAGCCCCAAGAGTCAGGTGCCTACGTATATACCAAAGGTTTTTCAGGCCTTGTGTTAGAGGGTATGCATTATCAAGAGCATTTATTTCTAAGCTTGAAAGCAATACCATCTCATAAGCAAGTGAGTTGTCTTTTGTTGGGGGTGGGGAGGGTTGCAAAAAGGGTTTCATGGAGGGATAAAATAAACTTAGTCATTGCCAAGGGAGTACATTATCAAATAATGGATTCCAGATTTGAAACAAAAATAATACACTGTTAAGCAGAGCATGAGTTGGTGAAGTGTTGTCGTTGCTCTGTCTTAATGTGCTGCATTTCATTAGCGTGGTAAGGACACCCACGTTGCCCATTGCCTCCAGCTGGTCCCTCTCAGCTGGTAATTTGCCAACATACATATCACAGTCCATTGTTCTGGATTGTGTCAAATGTCTTTAAAATATTTGAATCAGTGCGAAACCTGAGTGGTATATTCCTATTACCTTGTTCTCCTTCCTTCCCTTCTACCCCCCGGGGTCTAAATCATCTTATTTGATTTTTTTTTTCATAGCATAAAATGATTTTAATATCCCTTGCCTTCTTTAGCCTTCCATATTACAACCCGTCCCAGCCGTATTCATCGGCCTATTCCTGGCTTTCCTGTTTTGGTGTTTCGGTCCATTGTGGTAGAGAAAGGTACAAGCACTATTGTTGAGTCCTTGTCTGTTTGTCCCCGTCACCTGTTTGTGCCATATTTGTAATATAGTGCATGGCAAAACCACATGGGTATTTTGTTAGCTGAAGCAAACCCTTCATTTAGTATGCCATGTATTTGTGTCCTGCCAGTGAGCTGAACAATCCACTAATCATATAACATTTTGTCTTGTTTCCTTTGTAGTAATTCTAACCATGAATCCCAACCTAACCAGTTATTACTATGCTTCCTTTAACTGAGTCTTTATCTCCAGCAAACTGAAGTAAACAGTGCTTTTCTACAGTATTTGTAACCCCTTCCCTATTATGTGCTTAATCAGATTTGAATGAGAAATGAAGAGTTTGCCTCTTTGAAGTTTTCAACCTGTCTCACCCTTCCTTCCTTCCCCACTATCATTCTTTGGTAAAGAATTTCTTTTAGACTTTTGGCTATTTACACTATGACTATAAATATTTTTAGAAAGATTGAAATTAGCATAATGCACCATTGACTCACAACTCCAGCCCCAGTATATACAGTGAGAACATAAGCCTATCCCATTTTTTCTGAGCTCTGAGCTGCAACATCAGAATATTTCTTTAAAAAGCAGTTTTCTCTGTGAAATCTGGAATACTAGTAAAAATAAAGGCATCAGCCAGGGCACAATAATATTATAAAACCCTCTGAAAGTTAGGGAATAGTCCATCAGTGCTTGTGTGGAATGTTCATATGATTTTATTATGCAAGGCAAGGTCTTCACCGAGAGGCTCAGATCCGCAAGGCCCCTGATGACACCATTCCATCTTCAACCCCATCTAACTTTGTCTTCTGGGCTGTGGTTTCACATTAGAGAGTCAAAGTCCAGGCCATTTTCTTTCTGTCACCTTAGTTACAGCCCCATGTGCAAAACTCTCCCAATGTGTGAGGCTTTTTAAAATCAAGAAATAAACATTCTAGGCAGAAATACTATAGGGGCCTATTTTCATCAGTTATGTAGGAAAAAGTAAATTGCGAAGTAAATAAAGCAGTTGAAGTCCCAGAATTTCTTAGAAATCATTAGTAGATTCTCCTTATAATGTAAGAGTTGAAAATTCCCTGGGGTTCTCATGGGGTGCATTAGACTTCCAAAGAGTTTTCCTACTTTACAACTCTCCTTATACCTGCACTCCCTCTTAACTTTTTTTTTTTCTTTTCTATTCAAACTTTGCTTTCACAATACAAAAATAAGATTTTTCCAATATCCTCTTAAGTATTCAGGACTCTCTGCAACGAAGGGGTTAATAGGTATGACAAAAGAGGGGAGAATGTGATATTGACTCTTGGTTTCTTTCCACACAGAAACCCTGGCCCTGGATGCCCATGTTGGCTGCCCTGGTTGCGGTGACAGCCATCGTGCTGTACGTGCCAGGTCTGGCCAGAGCTTCTCCATGAGAGCGTTCCTTGAGTCCGTACACCGTCTCCCTCTAGAAGCTGGCATCACACTCATGCTGGGGACAAACAGAACCATTTTCTTCTTTTTTACCTCTTAAAACAACAGAAGTGCAAGAATACAACTGTAGGGTCATTGCTTTAAATTATATAAAATGTATCTGTCTATAAAGAAGATATAAAATTGTGACTTATTCTACTGTAAGCAATAATTTGCTTGCAATTTTTCATGTAATTTTTAAATTAGTATGTTGAAATTCTGAATATTATGGTGGCCTAAAGTAGGCTTCTTGGTACACCAAATTATTTATAACATTTAAGTTTATGGGTATTTTACTCTGAATTCTGATGGCCAGATAATTCATTTTTCTGATTCGGTAACTACCCGAACCAAACAACCAGTACGTACATGGGAAGAGAGGCCCTGTGTGCTCAGTGCCTATCAGTTTGAAATATATACACATATATATATTTTTTACATATTTACGCCATTTTTACTTATTGTAAAACCACTGAGCTATTGGGAACAAGACATAGAGACAACTATTTGTGTGGATTTTTTTTTTTTAAGGAAAAATACATTTGAACAATATTCTGTTAGAGTAATAATTTGGGAATATGTGCACGCTTGTTTAGCCTTAATGTGACTTGAAGATGTGGAGGACATCAGCTTTGAAAACTTTCCATGAGAGTTGTGTATTTTCTTGAGCAAACTAAAGTATTTCTGGGAGCAAAAAACAGTAATTACACAGTCTCAGTGCAGTCAACCAAACCATTGAGTCAATTGGAATGTAAATTATTAAACCTCATGTATTTAAAGAGATATTTTCTTTAAAAGCCAACTTACTTTCTCATATACAGCATTTTTAGAAAGCATGATTTTTTTTTCTATCATCTGTTCCTCCAAGCATGTTTAATTGAAGAAAGAATATCTCTTTAGATAAGATTTTACTGACTTAATTTGGTTATGATATTTTGGAGCTAATTCATGTGCAAGGTGGCTGTTGTGATCTATCAACAGATATCCTGGTTGATTATGCCAATGGTTATTTTCTTTTTATTGCTGTTAATTGGGACTTTCTGTCCATAAGAAGCACTATTCCCAACATTAATAGTGTTCCATGCACAAAGAGGCACCTCAGCACTGCTTAATATTATACAATTCAAAACACAGACATGACAGTTTCGCTATGGTTTTGTGCAGCACCATAGTTACGTCAGTAAAGTTTATTTAGGTCATAGTTATATCCTAAAGGATCACATAGTTAAAATTTTCAGTCAGTGAAGAGTGAGAGGGAATGTGAGTGAACTGGCTTGAATGTTCTTTGGCAATCCACAGGCCTAGCCAAAGATTGACATAGGAGTTTAGGGTATAATTTGCCTTGTAATGTTTGGCAGTCATTGTTTGTACTTTAAAAGCTATATTTTAAGCTATTTGAGATTGCTGTTGGGAGGATCACTAGGTTTGTGGAGGAATTAGTCACAAACAACTTGTAGAAAATACTGTCATGTAGCTCATTTCATCATTTTCTGTTGCAGGAAGCCACTCCACCACAGAATGCTAATATGCCAGTGGTACCCAGTACCTCTTGTATATAGGTTATTGCAAATATTGTTCTGAAATGCTTAACTTCAGAATTACATTTTTTAAAGTAAATAATTGTTTTAAATCTATTTTGTAAAGATATAAAGTACAATAGAATTTCTGGAGTACAGATTAAACTATTTGCACTAACACACGTGATGTGCATGATTTAATAAAATAACTTTACTCTCCTTATGCATGTTTGAGTTGAATATCATTGAACTTCTTAGTACTGCCTCTGCTATTAAGTTGTTAATAGTCTTTTCTTGAAATGATTCTTTATACATCACATACATGTATTTGCTTGTCTTTGAGGTTTAAAAGAAAACACCAAACCTTCCTTCAGGTTTTTTAGGCTTTTATTTGACTTACCGCTCTAGTTCCGCGCGCCTCCCACCCTTAATATGGCTGTTGTTGAAATGTGACACACTTGCCAGATAAGTCTCATTAACTGTACAAGCCAGTATCAATATTTGCTTTTTTTAAAAAATTGAATAAATGGGTTTTTATAGTTCCACTATTTCTCAAGAACATAAGTGAACCTATTCACAAGTAGTAATTCCAATTTTGTTCAGCTGGCTTCCATGTTAAGTAGAGTAGTAGTATTAACAGGTAAGGACGAGTCATTAAGAAATTTTTCTAAACACTGAAATTATGAATTGAATGACCCTGTAGTGATCCCATTTGAGAAATACCTACAGTTACTACATGACAGAGTCAAAAAATTAAGAACATGGTGTTTAATGGTGTTTAAAGCTAAACAGATCTGTATTCGCATCTCGATGTTGCTGTATGTGCCTTATCAGACATATCACTTCTCCTAATCTTCATTTCCTCATCTTTAAAATGGAGAGCATAATATTTGTGGTGGTAGAGTGAAAATTCAAAGATAATGTATCTAAAGTGCCATTCAGTGGAAAATTAGTTTTCGAAAAGGTCCTACTGGAAAAAATACTGCAGTTATTAAAGTTTCAGATGAACAGTACATTTATTTTAATTGACTGAACCGTTGAGTTTCTATGAATGTAAATGAGATTAGATTGTAACATTATGAATCCTAAGAAGGCATCATCACTTAGCTCTATTCATCTTCTTTTTACTAGTCTGTTTGGAAAACTAACTACCACGCTTTGTTTAGAATTGAACCAATTTCACACAAGGTTTTGGAATTCCTATTGTAATGGAGCTAAGAGCCACTTTTGAGTGACATGTTGAAAACCTTGCTGTACATTCAGAGACTTTTAGGCAAAAATAGTATTACCTAGCTCGAGTTCTCACTTTAATCACTAGATTTGATCCCAAGTAACTTGTGACTATTTCCAGTACTGATGTGTCTGTTACCAAAAAGATGGAAATCTGAGGCAGGTGCTACATGCCAGCTGGTTATGCCATCACTTGGAATGTCCACATCCCTTCTTAGAGCCCTGGTTCCAGTCCAGGTTGCTCCACTTCAGTTCCAGCTGTCTGCTGATGTGCTAGAAGCACATTAAAAAGCCACGTAGGATACCCAGATGGAGTCCAAGGCTCCTGTTGGGGTCATTTAGAGAGTAAACACTGATGGGAATACACACTCACTCTGCCACTCTGCTTTTCACATTAAAAAAAAAAAGTCTTAGAGGGAAAAAAATGGAATTATATTAACAAGTAGAAAAAATCTGCATACAAATCAATGAAGTTAAAAATAAAACCTAGCTCAAAAAAATCACTCCTGGAAATGTATTTGGAGAAGATAAGCAGGCATACGCACGAAGTGTTTAACAGGTATTTGTACTAGCGCTTTCTGTAAGAGTAACAGACGAACAACGTAAATATCTAGCAAAGGATCAGTCAAATAAATCAGTATTGCCAACCTGCAGGTGACTATACTTGTAGTAAAGGTAAGGAAAGATATTCACACCTCATAAAGTAAAAGAAATATCAGTGTAGAATAACCTTGGTTTTGTAAAAGGAAAAATGTAAACTTACAGGGTATGTTTATAGTGGGAGGACTTGAGAAGATTTATACACAGACCACAAAACTGGTTGGTTTTGTATGATGCTGAGTGAATTCCCTTCCCTCGTTGTGATTTCTGATGTATTTTTAGTTGGTAAATATATACTGCTTTTGTAAAATGTTTTAAAGCCATGTGATGTTGCTTAAAGGTAAAAACAAAGATTCCAAACTGATTTCCATAGATGAATGAGAATTTACCAAAATACCTACTTTGAAAGGAACTCATTCATATTCATTTGCACTTATGAATTCTGATATGTTCATTCAACAATATCAGAATGCTGAACTTGCTTTGTATATTTGTACACAGAATTATAGAGTGAGTAAAGTTGAGAATCAAGATGTTGACTTTCTTTTCTGCTGTTCCACACTGTGTCTCCAGGTTTCAGTGGTTTTATGACCACACCTTTAACAACTGCCTATTGAATGTGTAATAATGTTTGAGACATTATGCCCAGTCTTGGCAATACTCAGTCCGTGTATTTATAGAGCTTGTAATATAGAGGGGGAATTCAAACAGGGGACATGGCAGTCACAATCCAATGTAACTGAAGACCCAGGAACCTGTGGCGACATAGATGAGTGATCTCCTCTCTCCTTCACCACCCAGCCATCCACGCCAGGACTATCTGACTGCAGAACCAAAGGTGAGTTCCCCTTCCTGATGGTCAGGGGAGCAGAACTGGTTTCTCTTGAAGTACCTGCCTTTGAAAACCATTCAGATCTGAGATTGCTTTTTCCTAAAGGCATTGTGATGGGTCATCATTTTTGAGGCTCTGTGTTGTGCTGTGCTGGAGTTCTGCCCAGTTGGGTGGTCTGTACTGTGATTTACAGGTGAAAGGTTTTGATTCGTTCTGGGAAGGGGCTGTTGTCGGGCAAAGTTGCAGTGTGGCTGTTCTGGTAACACACCCCTGCTCAGAGGCAAGCATTGCTCCTGTCTGTCTTGTCTGGTCCCATCTCTGTGCTTATGGTGCCGCTCATGCCATACATTAAGCACCATAGTTTGTTTTCCCCCCCCTAAAGATTAGCCACATTTATCCCAGATTTGATGATACATGATTTCTTATACTGTCATGTAAGGACACTGAGACTGATGGCAAAGGGGCCCAAGCAGAGAGAGAAGCAAGTAGGGGATCTTTTGTGGCTTATGTTCCAGTGTTCCACTTCAGCATTCATTTTAGCCTCTTGCTTTGGCAGAGTTTAACAAGGTAGCCACACTTCATCTCATGCATCTATACTGCTACTGCGATATCGTAGAGTTTCTCTTCATCCAGAATGTTGTTCCATATAGAACTTTAAGCAGGCATGCCTGCTTGAACCTATAAATGGCAGGAATTCTTCCCTGCCAGGCTGAAGGGTCTTTTCCTCACGCCAGGCTGCACAAGCAGACAGGAAAGAACTCCAGCAGTGCTCAAAAACCTCAGCTGTTTCTGCTTCTGAAATCCTTGGTTTCTGCCATAAATTAGTTCACTGTCCGGAATCTTTGCATGGTTAGAACATTTTGGTTTTGGTTGAAAATGTTCTCTAGTATAATTATTGTTTTGTTATCCTTCTTCATCACCCCTATTTCTACACCCCATAGTTAATCTTCAGAGTTAATGTATTTTAAAAAAAAAATTTTTTTTTTCATCCACTTGAAAGGCAGAGAAACAGAGCCATCTTCCTCCTGCGGTTTTACTCCTTAAATGCCTGCAAAAGCCACGGGCCAGAGAAGGAGCCAGGACTCGCAGCCAGACCTTCCATGTTGGTGACAGGGGCTCAAGCATTTGAGCCATCATCAGGTAACAGGAGAATAGATACATTTTTTAAAACTGAAAATTATTAAGATTTCTCAAGGTAATGATTCTGTTAAAACTTCCCATTTTCGGGCCCAGCGCGGTGGCGCAAGTGGTTAAAGGTCCTCACTTTGCACGCCCGGGATCCCATATGGGCGCCGGTTCTAATCCCGGCAGCCCTGCTTCCCTTCCAGCTCCCTGCTTGTGGCCTGGCAAAGCAGCTGAGGACGGCCCAAAGCTTTGGGACCCTGCACCCACGTGGGAGACCCGGAAGAGGCTCCTGGCTTCGGATCGGCATAGTATCGGCCCATTGCGCTCACTTGGGGAGTGAATCATCGGATGGAAGATCTTCCTCTCTGTCTCTCCTCTCTGTATATCCGCCTTTCCAATGAAAAAATAATAAAAATAAATCTTTAAAAAAAAAAAAACTTCCCATTTTCTTCAACTGCAGGAACAGTTTTTATTTATTGTTTCTTAAAAAGGGAGATATCTTCCATCTGCTGGTTCACTCCTCAAATGGCCACAATGGCCAGAGCTGAGCCAATCAGGAACCAGGAGTTTCATCCTGGACTCCCACATGGGTGCAGGGGCCCAAAAATTTGAGCCGTTCTCTGCTACTTTCCCAGGCCATAAGCAGGGAGCTGCATTGGAAGTAGAGCAGCTGGGATTCTAACTGGCGCCTATATGGGATGCCAGCACTGCAATCAGAGGCTTATCCTGCCACGGCATGATGCCAGCCCCACAGTTTTAATACTGGACTAGAGTGCCTGTCCACAATTCTCCCTCCTCAGGCTGTCACTGATAGTTCTTTCTCTTCTCCACTAGACTGTTTGCTCCATAAGGGCACCTAAGTGTTGGTCTTCACTCACCATCGCATAAGTAAACTTAGTACCGTTCCTACCGTATTATAAATATCTGTTGAATAAAGAGATTAGGATCCAAGTCAGAAGGTAAACTTGAATCACTGTTTTGTGATTCCCAGTGGGCGTAGCAATCAGTAGATAAGTGTTCCTGTGTGTTCTGTGACCTGGAACAAACCACTTAATGCCTTCAGTCACCATGAGGGGAGATTGAACCATAGAAAAGGACCTTGTCTCATGAGATATTTGTGTGTGTGTGTGTGTGCTTTAACTTACTAAGTTACTAATTCTCTTTATTGCTACCCTCTCTCTCTCTTTGGAAAAAGAGATCAACAAACAAGAACCTTGCATCTGCTGATTCGTTACCCAGATGCTCACATCTGTCTTCCAGCCTATCCACAGGAGAACCAGGACACAAACCTAGGCTTTGTAACAGTAATATACAAATATCCACAGTGTTTCCAAATACCTGAAACAATTAGTCAGAAAGTGTGGGGTTTTTTTTTTGGGGGGGGGGGTGTTTTGTTTTTAGGTTTTATCTTATTTTTATTGGAAAGGCAGATACAC